ACAATTAGATTTTTAAATAATATTATTACTTAATAATGTACAATATAATGCCATAATTATAAAGTTAATTGCTAATTAAAGTATTGAAAATTATTTAATTAATATTCATGAATAATGTGCACATATTTTTATTTGCTTAAAGAAAAAACCGTTGGAAATTATTTCAAATTATGAATATAGACAAGAGTACTTCTTTTTAATATATTCCGATTTTCATTGACAGTTTTTAGCAAACAAATTAATTTTTATTCATTTTTTTTAAAAAGAATATTGTAAATTTTTTTATTCTGTACAGTATTTTATACATATTTTTATTTAATTCGCTTAATTCCATTACAAAACCGCAAATAATGAAAATTAATAATTAATTTTGATGTGAATACAAATAAAATCTGCTGCTGTCTTTTTTTTCTTTTTGTATATTTATTTTTTAAATTTATTTATTTATTTTTTTGGAAAATATTATTTGTTGGTGTCTGTATACTCGAATTAATATCAGTAATGTGAGTTTTTCAGTAGGCTTATACAGAATCTTTATGGAATGTAAACAATATTTTTGATTTGTTTTAAATGTCATAGTAATTTTTTATTATGGTAATGTGTATTATTCACATCTTTTAATTATTGGCTGGTAGATATTTTGGAAGAGTATATATTATTAATATTAGACTATTTCAATTTAATTCACATGTCAACTGAGCTTTGCGTGTTATACTAAAAAGTAGGAGTTCGAAAAGTTTGTCTCACAATAACCATATATTCACATATAACCAGGATTCAAAAAATTAGAGAAATTGTATCGAGTTCATTAGCACCTTTAAATGGAAATAAGAACTAATATATATATATATATAGGTATATATATAAATGCTTGCAACCACTTTTCAAACACAACAACCTTAGCGCGAAGAAAAGAAAGCTGATCTACAGCCAGATAATTAGACCAGCACTACTTTATGGGTGTGTTGTGTATAGCAAAGCTGCCGACTTTACTATCGAGAAGCTACAAGTTGGTCAAAGTCAAGCTTTTCGAAGACTCTTCAAAGTGCCATGGTACGAATGACATGCTAAGAGACCATAGAATAGATCCGGTCAAAAAATTCAGAGCCTTGAAGGTATATATGAAAACCGACAGACTGCCCTACTTAGCGCAATCTAGACTCAGAGTAACCACTAACCGCACGGGGCGGTTCGCAGATCTTAGATCAGTCAATGAATAATCACGATGCGTATGAGGAATAGAATAATTAGTCTGTGAGATGGGTGGGACTTTGCAGAAACCCCCCAGCTAACAAAGAGGAAAACTGTCCAGATACACTAACTCGGAAAAGGCTCAACATTAGATATATTTGTTATTAAATATTATTGTACTTTTAAAGCGTTGATAATATTTAGTTTCTGACAACTATTGTTCAAAAATTATATACGAACAATCAAGTCAATTGATGTTTGCAAAGAACACTGACAATGGACTATTATTAATATCGGAAACAGCTGTATACTTTGGCCAAAAGACTTACTTAGTTAAAAACGAAATTTATGAATTCAAATTTTCCTTACACATCCTCCTTTCAATATAAACTTGAAGAATTTAAGAAGAACTTAACTGAATGCTAAATAAGACTAAATTCTACAGAACTAAACTACAAACTTATTGGGAACATAACAGTAATAGACTACTGGTTGAAATTCGAATTCTGTTGTCGTGTCGTTTCTACCTTTTTTACCCATTAGTGAAAGGTGGTTAAGTATTTTGATATTCGATTTTAATAGTTGTAATTAGTTGAATTATAGATTTTTTTTTTGAGCTCTATTTTATTAGCTCTTAAACCTTATATTGAACCCTATCCAAATTTAGTTGAGAAGCTACTCTGATTTTTTTAATATCATTACTCTAATTGTATCTTTCTATTGGAAAATAAAATTTACCAAATCCTTAGGCTAGTATATTTTGTTCTATTTGTTGAATCACTATACTAGGATTAACATTAGCATTAATTAGTTTCAACATACAAAGTAGTCTCTAAATAAACTTTGACAGAAATATATTAGTTCATAAATTATTGACAAGAATTATTGTGATTTAGATAAATATTAACAATATTAACATTAAAAAATAGTCAAAGAGAGAAAATAACATTGATAAGAAAAATTATTTGTAAATAAGTTTATGAACATAAATTTTATTTTTTTAAATCTATTTGGATAATGGCTCATTAAGAATTTTCAACTGGGTTACTAGAGGCAAAATAAATGCTAAGATTATAACAAAAAGAAGAAATAGAAACATTTTTTTGAATTATAGAAAGACAAGGTAGTACCAGAAACTAATTGTATTATTGTAAGATTGTAAAAAAAATACTGCTTTACATTTAGAAAATTTAAAAGATTTGGAATAAGACATTAGTATCAGTTTATAAATTTGAAATTTTATTTGTCTTTATAGTGTCACATAACTTACAGTGACAACTATAATCAATAAAGAGATGAAACATAAACTATTTAAAAACTTCGAAATTCAGTAAAAGAGTATTATAACATTAATACCTGATTATACTTGTCTAATGTGTTAGCAGTAAGCACAGTAGGGACTTATGATTTATATTTTTTCTGCAGATTACTTAGAAGTTGAATATGCATTATGTATTATCCAATTTACAAAAATTTACGTTTCAGTACTAAAATTTATTCAAATTAAATCTGTGTCTTTTGCAGAGTTTAAGAGAATTTCTCTTTCACTATTATTTACTGAATTCTATGAGAACAAACTAGGTATGTATCAGAGCATTGTATTACCTTGCCTTGATGAATTTCATAAAAACATTTCCAATTTTAAAACCATATATGTTAAAAGCTTAGCTCAAAATAACATTTTTAATTAAAATCCATTGTCGAATGCCAGTACCCGGGAATTCGGAGTCATGCCAATATAAAATTGTTTTTAAATTTTACTATAAAAAGTTTTTCTATTCAATTATTCTCTGCTTCAACTGTTATATCAAAATGAAACATTTGAATGTAATTAAAAAGCTAAATTATCAGTTTCTGGTAATAGTCATTGTAATATAAAAGTGAGCCTCGTAAATTAACTTATTACATCTATTTTTGGTTTTAATTAATTATAACACTAAATAAAATCAGTTTGTGGTCTTAATAATCTCCGCAGTTTGATTTAGTTTATTTTATTATTAAATATGTATAATTTATATAATTAGATTTACATTAAATTATATTAAGTGATGATTTAATGGATTTTGCGGCTTTGTTAATTTAAGTATTTAATATTTTTAATAATATATTTTAAAGTAAATCTAGGTAATACTTGATTATATTTATTCAACTTATATTGCAATCATTGTTTTGGACATATACATTATATACTTATTACTAATATAATATTTCATTTTAAATGTAAAATATTATCATTAATTATTTGACTTTGCTTTGTTAATAATTTATTAAAAAGTGCTTACATATTAGCACACTTTTCATATCTTATGATACATTGATTTATGTGACATACACATATTTAATTAAGAAATGCTGCATTATTTCAATCTATTGTTTTATAGAAATTGCTTCAATTAATTTTTGATTATAGTTTACATATTGCTGCAATATTTCACATACGCTAAGTTGTATTTTTTAAATGGTGTTATATTTAAGTATACTTAGTGTATCCCAGATCCGTTGGGACTAGTTTCATACAAATTCTAAACCCAGCGACAGCGATGAGTGAATGACATCTATTAAGTGATTGGTGGATAATTTAACTACTTACTGTAACATTTCAACGAATTCACTCAATATATTCTTAAAACTTGACATACCACTTGACCGCTTTGAGCAAGTCAGTTGAAAAAACGCCATTGAGGAATGAAGGAGGAATATTATATTCAGTTTTGAATTAGATAAAGGTAGCAGAGAATCATAGTTCTAAACGTATATAATAGGTATAAGAGAACGAATGTAAGTTTTGTGCACAGGTTTTTCGTTAGCCGAGACGATTTCGTGACAGTTGTGAAAAGTATTAAGACATTGCCGATAAAAATTTGTGCAATGAACAGAACATTAAAAGAGTCAAAAAAATTCTCCGGAAAGATCATTGAGAGATCTCCAGACTCAATAAAGAGGACAATGTAAAAATACAGCTTCTCATATTTTGATAAAAAATTTCTGTGATATTCTCTAATGGGCGACCAAATAGATGGGAAAATTTGGTATTGTAATGCCATAATATATTCATAAGGAGTTTTTAAAACTTGTCAATGACTAGTGATGCAATTTGGTGCCTCCAATATTATAATATGTAATCACAAGTAGACTGAAGTAACTAACTATTCAAATATGAGTATGAAACACAATCGACGAAGAAAGCCGTAGAATAAGAATATAACGTAGTATATTACTTTCCGAAAAACAGGCGTTGTATACGTGTTATTGTGAATTGTGCTTTAGAGTTATTGTGAAGCATTTTAATGAGTTTGGTTCAGAAACAAATTTTAAAAAAATGACCAGTTCCATAAAGCTTTTTGGTTTATTTTATTTATATCATACGCTACATGTATTAGATATGTTATCTAAAAACATATCTGTAATAAGATTTCCTTGTTATAAATACAAGATTCTATAGCTGACCTGTGTATTGAATTATTTATTATCTGCACATATATAATAAATTTTCATATACTTTTCTCAATACATTGTAATTTTGTCCACTTCTATAACTAAATATATACTAATAATTATCGTTATAATGTGTATTTCTAACTGATAACATATTTTTAAAATATACACCTTACATTTTTTAAATTAATACTAAATTTTAAAAATATCTTTAATATTTCTTATTCCATATATGTTTAATATGTTACTTTTAAATCGATTTAAATATCTTACAAAACCATTAAAATATTTTTATTAAGTATTTTATATTCATTCATATTTCAAGAAAACTAAACTTATTAGATGAACTTATTAGATAGTATTGAGAACTACATTCCATCTTCCGTGCTTTTATCAATCAAATATATAATTTTCTATCATCTGATGCCTGTAAGTAAGATAAAATATGTTAGAATATGTAACAGTCATATATAACAATTAAATATATTATTAATAAAATAATTAGGTATTAAATCAAATAGAGAAGTTTTTATTTATAATATTGTTGTCTCGGTAAACTGGCCTTTATAAGCCTGACTAAATACCAGTAACTTTTTTTTTATTCAGAGCATAATTTTTTGCGACACCCTAAAAACTATGTATTAAAATATTTGCCAGAATCTCCACACTTATAGACATTAGACATGCTAAGATAGTCTAAGAACTAAGTTTCTAAATAATGGATTTTGAATAGAAACCAAGATATCATTATTATCTCAAATTTGAGATATGATAACTTTTGCTGTTGAACCAATTGAAAATAACTAATGAAATACTTAAGTTAGGTTAGGTTAGGTTACTGACGCACTTAGACCATGAGGTCCATTGTGATACCTTTAAGAATTTGACACCTATCACTATAATCATTCAGTACTGACCACAAAGCAATTGACATGAGCTAGGCTAATAGAACTTATCTCTCTTAGTGAATTGATAAAGTGCGACCCTATGTAGGAGAGTCTATGTCTTGCGAAAGCAGAACCCTATAACAGAAGGTGTATTGGTGATTTCTCTTTGTCATCTTCTATGCAATGTCTATAGTGCAATGAGGTTTTCATATTGAGCCTCACAGCATGTCCTTCTAATGGGCAGAGTCCCGTTTTAATTCTCATTATCTAATCAAATACATAGTCAATCAAACTAAACAATTATAAAAGATAATTAATTAATAAATAATGTGAGTTGTAACATATAAAATTAAATAAAATATTTTCGTTAAGATAGTTTAACTGGTGTAAATATTTGATTTTAATTATTTGAAAATTAATTATAGAATTTTGCATATTATATAACACCTCATGTGTGAACAATAAATTTAAAATATTAATATGTACAAGTAGAGATACATGTATTTATCAATTTAAAATATTGAAAGTTCAAAGAACATTAATCACATATCAAATTCACCCATGCTGAGATTTACCTGATATATTCTTCTGAATAAAATAGCATTAAATTCTTATGCCAGCATGAATTTCACACTTATTTATATTTGTTACCTGCACTCGAACACAAGACGAAGCTGTATATTATAGTGAACCGGAAACGGAAACCCACTTTACTTGGTAATTTTTATTAAACACGTGCTTGCTGCACAAGTTGTTCCCATCAAAAATCGAAATTGCCAGTAACATTACGTAAAATTCGCATAAATATAAAATTTTGAATTACTTTGAACATTTGTTGTGTCTTAAAATATTTATGCGTATCCTTTCTGCTATGTGTCGACACACTTTGTACCACACAATCCTTTTAACCTAAATACACAGACCTCTACGTCGTGCTTGTTGCGCACTCCGACACCAACAATTCAAAGGCTCGAAGGACCTTATTTACAAACATTTTTTAACAAAACACTTTCCTTTTGAATACGAAATATGTTTTTCGGATTGAAGTGCGGATGTGTGCCAACAGAGCAGGTGCAAGTTGGTTGACTTGCCACAATGTTGCCAGCGCTAATAAATTTCCTTGCTTACATTCTGTAGCCTTACATCCTCTTACAAATGGCTTATGTTTGTTTATGTGTAATAATGGCTGTGTAATGTGTAGAAGGCGTTCGCTTATGCAGCAGCGCAAACCCGAAATGCTTAAATTTGGCCACAGAAATTTAGTCTGAGGAAGTTTTATGTTTAATTTGCTACATTTGTAAATATTTGCTCTACTCGCTTTTATTAAGGTTTGTTTGGTTGTTCTTGTTTTTTCTTGAAACATTCACAAGATTATGAGCACACATTTCGCATTGTTTATTTTACACTCGAAACGCAAGAAAAATATTAAAAAAATCATAATAAACATTTTTTATGAAGAATGAGAAATGAAATATATGAACATTTGATACTGAAAAGTATAATTTATGATATCTGTATTCGGGTACTTGATTTACTTCAATTTAAGGCCGAAATCTCAAACGAGATGGTTGCATTCTTCATTTGCTCATATGAACCTCTTTTTTGGAAATATCATATAGTGAAAGTAACAAATATGGTTTTCGTTTTCATTATGGAGAAGTGATAAAAGGGGTTCTAAGAGTGATATGTACACGTTACTGTATATAGTTAAATGTAATAGAATATAGCCCTATGATAGTAATTTGCAAATTTTGCAATCTTTAAAAGGAACAAATCGATAATTAAATTTGTTTTTTTAATTTTTAAGTTGTTACGTCTAAAATATTTTAAAGTCATTTTTGATTTTTTAAAAGAAAAATTCCTTATATTTTTAAAATTTCTAATATTAGGAATTCTTCTGATGAAGGCAAAAGCAAATTTGCCAAAATACGTGTAGAAAAATACTAAAAATAACGATCGAAATTTAAGCAAAAATTCTTAAAAGACCAAAATCGATTTTGAAATCAAATTCTTTGAAAAATTAACAAGATTTATGTAAGAGACATTTGAGATCGAAGTCAAATAATCACAAAAATTGTTACTGCTTTCTTCCTATCATAAAAATTTTTATACAAAAAAAATTTTCATTTGCATTTTAACGTCAGTTATGACGGCAGAGAGTATTTTTCTTTGTGGAAGCTATTGTTTAAATAGAGAGATTTATTATTTGAATTAATTGTATTTTTAACTGACCGTACAGCTGTTTTGAATATTATTAAATACCTACCATCATTGTTTTTGGAATTATTTCATATCAAATTAACAAAACTTTAAGTTTGAACATGTAAGTCAAGTACGACTTTGGGTTAGTTAGCTAATGAACACCGACTCTGAGCTTCAAATTTGGCAGGGCACGATTTCAACCCTTGGTACATGCAACCTCCAAAAATAATTTACTAATAATTAAATGTAAAATATAATTCCAAGACCATTGATAATGGGTATTTGGTAATATTCAAAACAGCTAAAAATTCAAATAAATAAAATAATAAAATATTTTTGTTGTTCATTACTGTTCGAAAACTACCTAGAAAATATTTTCAAATACTCAAAAATATTATCTTGTGAAAGATAATATTTTTCTACATTTCTACATTAAGATTTTAAAACTTTGTGGATGAATATGAGTTAACTTTTTAACTTTAATTTTCTTGCCCTTAATTTAAAAAAATTTTGTATATCTACAAAATTATGTAACAGGAAAAATCATATATATATTTTACGTTAAAGCCTTAGAAAAATATTGGGAGGAGAAAAATTGAAAAAGTAGACAGTACGTTGTCGTCTTTGAATGAAACGAGGAAATGAGCTTCTACATTCGTGTTATAATCATTTAGGTTACATCAGATTAAAAGGCCGCATCTGGATGCAAATACCAAAATTTACATTCCTATCTCATTGTGATGCCACTGAAGTTACTAGAAGCATGCGAGCTACACAGACCATTGTTTTCAATGTGGAAACTTTTATTTCACGTTTCAGTTGATGTTAAGTTTAAATTTAGCTTCATTACTTCTGGCCAGCCACTAAAAGAAAACAGTTTCTTAAATAATAAAGGCAGACAAAACCTGTATTCCTGGGTAGAGAAATTGAAAGTGATTGATAAATACTGTTCCTTCTTCAAAACTGGATGTCCTGAATAGTCCGCTTGTTGAAGTTGTTCCCTCAAAAAGCACATGAACGGCTAGCTTGGTTTAGCCTAAAAAATTGTTGGTTGTCCTGTAGTCTAGTCTAGATCATATGATTTAAGCTATTTTGTTGTTTGTGCTAACCTAACCTTTATTATTATTCAATACTCATCTTTCTTTTTAATTAAATCTTTAATCTTTAATTTACTATTGATATGAGTTGAATTTCTATCTTAAATGTAAATGATTTATGAGATCGTAACAATTATTATTAGATTTATATTAGATCGTATATTATATTAGATCGTAATTTATTGTTAATTTATATCATTATTGTTTTTATGTCAATATTGATTAAGTTTTTTAACAAAATATTTGTAATGACAGGCATATTTATTGACCTTAATTTTTCATTATTCATATTTAATTATTTTTTCTAATTTAATTATAAATATTTATCACCTTTACAATGTGTTCATGGCATCTTAGTACAAATTTTTTCACAAAATATCTAAGTTTAAGTTTTTATTCCTTTTTTATTTGGCATTACGAATGACCTATAAATCAAAAATTATCTATTAGTATTCCATTAATTATCTCATTATGATTTTATTATCATTTCACTATGATTTCAAAGAGCAATTAAAAGTGTAATTTCAATCAATAAATATAAATTAAGAATGATAAAGTGCTTTCTTTTGCAATTCCGACGATAAATTAAAAAAAGTGTTTTTTTTGTCTCTATCAGTTTTAAATGGATTAAAGTCCTCGTGAACTCTTATTGAAGTAAAAAAATTTTTTCAGTTTTCTATTAAAAATTCAAAACTATTTGTAAACGTGTTTTTGCTGAAAGCGATTTGAATTTCTTAAATATTAAAAGAAACTTTTTTGTGAATTTTGTGTAACTTTAACCAGTAATTAAAACATTTCTTTAAACAAAGGGGATCCATTAGCAAATATTCATTAAAAAATGATAACTTAAATTGTTTTGTTAGTGGTAACGACCTTTTTATTGTCGTTCCTTAAAGCGACTGAGCAAATACAAAGAGTGAATACAAAGTTAAACCACTTGAAACCAATTTAAAAAATAAAAAATCCATTTTTTTCCCAGCTAAAGTTTTTTCAGTGACAACGGAAAATATTTATTTTCCCTGTGACTTTTAGGATTATGAAAGTAAAGTTTTCTACTCTAACATTATATTGCCACAATTATTGCAAAAACTATATTCATGCTACAAAAGTTTGCAAAATTAAGATAAATATAATATACAAAAGTACAGTTTGGAGACAGGAATCGGCAGAGAACGAACATGACACAAATACATTATGTGTTAATATATTACGAAAATGATAATGTGTGATATATAGTTTATATGTGTGTAATATAATATATAGGCGTAGAACCAGATATAATCATAAATATGTAAATTATTATCATTTTTCCATCCTGATCTCTTATAAATGTATTGTATATAGTATTATAGGTATGTATTATAGGTAATAGTAAATGTATTATAGGTACTTCGAAACATTCACCTTGAACCTATGTATCTTAAAAAGTGCAGATATTGATGGCTTTATGTACAAAAATCTACTCATTTTGCAAAAAGTAATTGGTCGCTTTAATATTTCAGGTTTACCTAATGAGTAAAGCCTTGCAACGAAAAACGGTATTGTATTAGTTATCATTTCCGGATATTAGGTAGATTTTTCCAAATATTTCGAGTTAAACGCATTGCAAGAAACGTTCGAAAAATTCTTAAAAAGGGCGTATACACATCGTTCCGAATTGCTTTTTGAATGATTGGTACGGTATTAAAAGATTGCCTTTTTTTTTAATAATTTGGGTTTATAAAACAGCAAAGAAATACATAAAATATATCAAGTTCCCTAGGGGTAATTAATAAGAATGTTGTCTTTCTTGGTCATAAACACACCTGCCATGGTCGCTTGGGGATATAGTTGGGGATGTATGTTAGTTGCATTATCGTGCAACAAACACCTACTATCTGTCTTTCCATATTCTAACAGAACTTATAGATAATAAGCTTTCACTGTTAAGTTTTCTGCTATGAAGCGAACAGATATCACTGAATCAAAGAATATGGCTTTAGAAAATAACCGTATTTCATCAGCATTTGAAGTGGCTAATATGTTTAACGAGTTGTTTTGGAATACTTTTAATATATCATTGCTATGATGAACTTTCCGTGCTCAGAGAGAAAGAAAACAAGTTCGGCATTTTCAATGAATTTATAGAATGTGTTTTTATTAGTTTGAGATGAGTAAAGTTATAAAAAATTTATCAGTATTATTTTTATTATTAAATGCGCAATTTTTCAATTTGTTATAGGTAATTGAAAATTTGTCATTTTGCCCGCTTGGAAAACCAAAAATGGTTAGCCAACGCGACCAGCAAGCGTATGCTAAATAGCAAGCATTCGGGAGTACGGTTGCAATAAGGTATAGCTAAGAACAGTTACTTGTTGATGGATAAATCCCCCGGATATATAATGTTCAAAAATAGTGTTTACTAATACTGATAAAAGACCTCAAAAAATACTAATATCAGTAGTTAAATACATATTAGTTCCATGTAGCTATGATTTAGTTAATACTTAAATAACCATACATTGTATATAAAAATTTTAGATATATATATCAATAGCGGCAATTTTTCTTATTTTATTTATCAACTGAAAAGTCTTCTGAACTCATTACAACTGGACTGCCGAACGCTTGCTCTTTTGGTTTTCCAAGCGGGCAAAATGACAAATTTTCAATCACGTATAACTGATTGAAAGATTGCGCATTTAATAATAAAAATAATATTAATAATAAGAATAAAAAAATAATACTGATATGGTTAGAAGCTAACTAATTAACTAAGTAACTATTATATGCATTGCACTCGATATAATTTAAGAACTAATAGACAATAACAGAAGTTAACTATAGATAGTGAAATACTTTCTTAGTAGTGTAGATTATTAAAAATATTCATAATAGTGTTGATTTCGAAATGTGTTTATAATATAATAGTGTAGAACAGGGCTGTCCAAAGCGGCCTATGCGGCTTACGACTAATATTTGTGCAGCCTGCATCTCTAGTCTTTCACAATTAGGCAAATTTTTCTTTTTTATAGTTTAATGGCATCACATTATTTTATTTGTATGGTATCCTAAATAAATTAATTAAAATGTTTAAAATAATTTATTACACTTCACGTTCATTTATTTAATTGACAAAGACTTTAGTATATGTATATTTCTTTGTACAACTGATTCAAAAAACTCGTATCCAGTGTCGTAAATTATTACATTCAAAATAAAATATTTTTCATATGATAGCAACTAATATTATTAAGGTTGATATTGATAAAATTAAATACTTAGGAATCACGTTTGATAAGCGATTCACTTGGCACAAGCACATACAAGTCAAAAGAAGTAGTTGCACAAAAACACTGCATTGCTTACAACCACTTTTCAAACATAACAACCTTAGCGCGAAGAACTGAAAGCTAATCTATAGCCAGATATTTAGACCAGCACTACTTTATAGGTGTGCCGTGTAAAGCAAAGCTGCCGACTCTACTATTCAAAAGTTACAAGTTGCTCAAAGGCAGGCTCTCCGAAGGCTCTTCAAAGTGTCATGGTACATCGTACGAATGGCATTCTAAAAGACCTTAGAATAGATCCGGTCAAAAAATGTATACGGGACAGAGCTCTAAAGCTATAGTACTATCTAATCTCAGAGTAATCACTAGCCGCACGGGGCGGTACACAGATCTTAGATCAATCATTGAATAAACATGAAGATTATGAAGAATAATCAGATTAGTCAATGAGATGGATGGGACTCTGCAGAAACCCCCCTGCTAACAAAGAGGAAAAGTGCTTAGATGCACTAACTCGGAAAAGGCTCAACATAAGAATTGTAAAAGATGAATTAATGAAAATTTATCATTATGGCTGTTCATTTATTTTATTCCGAAAAGTCATAAACGTATATATTTATTTTTGCGGCCCTTAAACCTATTCTGGTCTGGAGAGCACTGGTGTAGATATTCACATACATTTACAATAGTGTGGATTTTGAAATACGTTTAGAATCGTGTTCTATAATAAGAAGTTTGAGAATATGAAGAAAACCATATTAATGGTTTAAATTAGTTCAATTATGTGTTTATAAGAGCTCTCTAGTTTCAATGTATTTTAACTAATTAAGAAAATAATTCATATCACATATTTGGTGGAGTTTTTTTTTGAATTTGTGATAAGTTGGAAAAATATTTGCTCAAATATAGGAAACAGCGTACTTTAAATAAATAGTTTATTTCAGGGGCCGAAAAATTCATTTAATTTTAATATTAATTTTATTAACAATAAAAGAAAATCGTGTATATAATTATAATTTTTATTTAGATATGTTTTGTCCAATATTTCTAATTCTTCTTTAATTTCTCTATAATAAGCTCTTGAAGAAGACTACGGAGGCGGTCGAAATATTGTACAAACAAATATAATTGAATAAAAAATTATAATTAATTAATACTATTGTGTTTTGTTTTTAGAAAAGATTTAATTGTATTTTAAATTTAACTGGTTTTCAATGATCAAATTTTTACTAAAGGATTAAAGGCGATGAAAGGGTTACAAAAGCATAAAACTTGTCTTTCAAATTATTTTCAGAATATTAGTTAATAATTCAGATAAAATTCTCTCGTACCTATATATATTTTCAATTTTATCACAATATTCGATTTAATTTATTTTAATAGATTTTTTATATAAATTTTTTTCATAAATTTTAGAATTCAATGCTACTCATCTGTAGGGTACAAGGACTGAAATTATCGAGAGCCAAACTGGACAAATAAGAACAGATAACTTTGAGGTAAGTGAGAATAAAACCAAATTATGGTCACAGTTAGTTTACCGATTGTTGTTGTTGCTCCTAGCATAATTGTTGTTGTAGTTTTTAGTTGTACAAGGCAAAGTTTCCATTCAACACTAAATGGAATTGTTAAAATATTTCGGTGAAAAGCTCAAAATTGTTAGGCAACAAAATAAATGTGAAAGGAATACGAGGTAGAAAAGGTCAGAATAAAAAATTAAATTAATTGAAAAATAAAAGTAAATAAAAGAATAAAATATAAATGAAAATTTCTGAATAAAGAGATTTGTTGAAGTACAAAAAATGTTATATGAAAAAAGTGTTGAAGCAACAACAAAAAACTTTCCATCCGTCCGGCATAAAAACGGATCTGATATAATAAATATAATAAATTTTTTTAAGTGTTATAAAAATTTCAAAAAAGTACAAACAAAAAACGTACTGTGTTCTTTAAGGCAGCGCAATAAAAAGTAACAAATGCAACAGTTATAAAAGTTGCCAGCAACAAAAAAGTTGCTTCACTGTTGCTCGCAATTTCTCCGCTCTTTGTGTGGTTTTTATTGCTCGAAGTTCTGTGTTTCTGTTTTAATTTAGCGGTTGCAGTTATTTTTGCTGCAATTCGGTGCGTACTGTGCCAGTGGATGATGAAGATGAACTCGTTGTGGCGGAACTGAAAGATGAATCGCGCGAAGAGTTGACTGAATCAGCAGAATCTGTTGACAGTTTTGTGGTTAAAATGGCCGACGTTGTGGAGTTTGCAACGCCGGGTAGAGTTGTCATTGCAGTCGACGGTGGTGTCACTGGAGTTGTTGTTGTCAACTGAGACAAAGTATTTGTTGGTGTTGTTGCAGTTAAAACTCCAATGATTGTCGATGTTGCTGTTGCTGGCTGCATTATTTTTGCAATTGCATCCTTTTGTGTCAGTTCATTGCTAAGATTTCTATGCAATTGCGGTATGCGTGTTGCAGTTGGTGTTTTAGGTGTTGTTGGTGTGACTGGCTTAATTGCTGCTGCTGTTGCAAGTTCATTTGCAGCTGCTGCTGCTGTTATTGCAGATAAAGGTAAAACGCGCGGTATGCCCGATTTGGACACATTTAAATTGGGTTTAATTGCAATATTGTTTGGTTGCGTAATTGTGTCTCTATCCATTGTTTTTTCGGTCGATATTGCTGTTGCTGGGTTTAATGTGGTGGGGGTATTGGGTGGCGTTGCAAAGTATTTGTTGCCTTTGTTTGCCGGTGTTTTTGGAGTTATTGGTATTGTTACCCCATCTGCTGTAATGGGAGACTCAATTGCGTATATTTTTTCGGTAAAATGCGCTGGTTGTTGTGTGCAAGTAGGTTCAGTTGTTGTTTCTCTTTCAAAGTTTAGTCTATTTTCAGCATATTTCCTAATGTCCTTCGCACCAGCTGCAAATGTAGGTAAACATAACATTTGCATCGGCTTGGCCTGCGGAAGTTGCTTGTCATTAGCTCTGCAGTCAGTTGCGCCACAACCACAATTTGCCAGTTCATTAAGATGTGGTTTTGTGTTCATTTCACTGTCTATGTTTGTTGTGTTTTCCTGTTGCTTACGTTTCAATGTTGAGTAATTACTTTCATTACTGGTACTCTCAATGTTTGCACAACCACAACTTACTTTCGATTTTGGCACAATTGGCCCGACTATCAAAGTGTTTTGTGTAATTTCAGGTTCAACCTCTTCTAGTGTGCAATCCTGTGCCAACTTTAAAGGCGATGTAGTAATGTTGTTGCTGTCACGTCGTCCTACGGAAGGTTTACGTCCAAGCGTGGAGATGGTGCGCGGTGGTGGCATGGGTGGTTGTCTGAGGCCGAGGCATGACGGCACAAAACTATTCGGTGGTAATGAATTTCTTTTGTACATGTTACTTAAGTCGGCAGTCATAGGCGGAGAGTCTGTATCACGTGCTGCCGTTGTAGGTAATACTTTGGGGTAGTTACGACGCTTAATTACTGTTAGCTGTTCTGCTGGTGTTAATGTAGTTCTGAGTGCCTCATCAACTTCATCACGACTAGTCACATTAATATCGGGCAGCTCATCTATTTTATTGTCATCCATAAAACTCGTCGTAGTTACATCTTCTCCACAATTGTGTTGGTAGTACATATCAACTGGATCTGAGTGTGCATGTGTGTGCATAATTTGTAATTGCTGGTTAGGTAATTCCAAATCACACGCCTCTGTAGCTGCCGAGTGTTGCCGCATGAGAGAATATCGACATGCATCTAAGGAATTTTGTGGTGTCAGCAATTCGTGATCTTCCACCTCAATATCCTGACATATTATAATATTTCGTCCATCTGATTTAAGTTTTGTTATCTCAATGGGTTCTTGGCACAGCACGCTGTTACCACGTGCTTGTGGTGTGGCATCTATGGCGACACTTACTTTATGTGGCTGTTGCATGAAACTGCCACCACCACTACTGCCATGCAAAGACGAGAAAGTAGGTGAGCCTGATTTCTTAGTTGCCCTTGGGCTGCCAGCGTTTGACATACGTTTAAGTGTGGTGCATAATTGACGTTCACCAGCAACCGTACCGGAAATCCACTCGCAAACCTTTGTGTGCGTATCCACTGTGGAAGCACTCAACTGACGTGTAATTCGAAAACCATTTATAGGTGAACGATCCGTTTTTACTGCTTCATAGGTGTTAGATTTACGCACAACATCGAGTATATAACTCTCATCGCCATCATTAATATGCTTGGAACGCTTAAGTTCATCGTCAGTAGTACCATCATAGCTAAGTATGCCACCTAGTTTGCGATTCATAGCAGTCGCTTTTTTCTTTTTCTGCAGCAAAAATGTAGAATAAATAATGAGATTCAACACAATGAATACTACAATTAGGCCAATCAACAATTGCAAGGTTGATTCTGATTTTGCTACTTCTTCTTTACTGCCATTTTCAGTGTTGCCAGCCTCAGCTGCATCGGCTGGTGCCATTGATTTGCTTATGCCATAAATTGCAGTGCTGCTACCTGGCAGCATGTTTGTTGGTTGTGTGTTCATGCCGAAGACTTCATCAACCGCCTGCTTTGCCACACCAAACGTTGGAGGCGCATTATACATATTTTCCGCAGTTTCTACTTGCATTGTGTTGCCGTGCGGTTCCTGTAATAGTAATTTTAATGTGCGCACAGGATCTTCAGCGCTATTATCTCGTGTGCCGTATTTGCTCATATGACCGGTGATAACCTCACTACCGAAGCGTTTCGGATAAATCGCGGAAGTACCACCGCGTGGTAGTTGAGTACTAGGATGTGAGGGATTAAAGTATGGTTGTTGTTGGATTTCAGCAATTTGGTTTAGTTCATTTGGCCATTCCTTGTTCCAAAAATTCATGTAAATTTGACGATATTTATAGCCAATAGAGGGCGGTATGCCTAAAACATAAATTTTGTGTATCATTATTATTTTTACTATTATTACTATTATTGTTAATAATGCTCTTAAGTCTATAAATATTTTTAGTTAGTCATTAGTAAATACGTATGGTTGCATAAACTATCATGCGTTAAGAACAGAACGGAAATAAAATAGATCTATCCAGATAACATGTTATTCTTACCTATATTTAAATATGTTTGCGATCGTTTGTTGAACTCTGGCCAATCTAAATCATAACGATCCCATTCAGCTACATGTGAATTGATAAATGTGCCTTTCCAAGGTGCTTTAGGATTACTAAAATTAAAAGAAAAAACGTATATAAATATATATAAAATAATTATTTTCATTATAAATAAGATTTGGATATAATTATAACTGCATGTGCTATGACTTAGAGATCCGTTGACTCCGGAAATTAGTACAAATTGCATTGTTTTTAACGTAGGTTTTAATGAAAGTACTACGTATATGAGTTTGACGTAAGTAACATACGTTAAGTATATAAATATGAATTCATATTCAAAGAATAAGAAGTGTATTATTTTTTTTTTTTGAATTCGATCTATTTTATGCAGAGGACATTTCTACACTCACCCATAGAAATTGGAAAAGAATGTTTTTGGTGACTTACAAAATATTCTATAAGTATAATAAAATTGCTTTTATTTTATTTATACTGAGTTAAATAATTTATAACAATAAATGAGTAAAGATGAACTATTAAAAGCATTATATAAATACAAAAATACATCTAATTAATATTTAACTTATACTGGTTCTTAAGATTCTTGTTTTGGATTTGACTAATAATACCACATTTTATTTTCTTCATATGAACGCTTAAATGGTTTATTAGCAATCTGATGTAATGGGCCCAAAAAGAGATTATATACTTAACAGATATTTATATATATCAGTACCTTTAAAAAATATGTTACAATCGATGAGTACCGAATAAATCTTTTATGGGTAATGTTTGATAGTTTTGAATCCTGTTGGTGGTGATTAAATATTATGCCCTTTTTTCTACTTCTGTTATTTATTCTATTATACATAATCCAGTGATATTTAAAACGAATACGAATAATGGTGAAAATATTAAAAATTATCTTCAAATTTTGAGTTCGTGAAACTTCTTGATACTGAACTAATGGATCTATATATATAGCTGATAGATACTTCCATCTCTATGTATACGAGTAAAAAATTTAAAGATTAATACGGACAGAGTTTTAAAACATTTGTGGAGTATACTTGAGCTTAAAATGAATAAGATTACATATACAGAAGAAGTTTTGTGTCTTTGCCCAGTATTACCAGTTTAGTTAATGACTTTGTTATTTGGTTATGTAATGTAATCGAGTTTTTAGAAGAATTTAAGAGTCAAGTTTTTTAAGTTGGAATTGGTACTATATTGCAATGAAAAACATTCCGGTTTTATTAAATTAAAGAATTAATGTTATCATCTTTTTTGATTAGTAAGATGATTGAACGTGTTAAATTATTAGTTTAAAAACTGTTGGAGACTAAGCTGAGGCTTATTAAATGATGAAAGTCCAGAATTTTACGTGGATACTTGCTGTGAAAGCTTAACATCACGGTTTTTTTTCACACACACAATTTATGTTGCGCCGATTGACGTCCCATTGGAACTCCGAGAAATTCCACTGCTTACAGTTTAAGTTATATATTTGAGCATAACTTTCCCCTTGGTGAGGAGAGAGGCCTATCTAACACCTCTGCTGATTTTTGAAGCACAGCATCCGGTTGAAAAACAAGTCCATATCGAATAATTGCAAACGAATACAATTACTCATCATGTTAATGTACTGCTTTAAACACAAGCTTATTAAGTTGATCTATGATTAATCTGCTATTATAGTGTCCTGCATGGGGTGACAGCTGTGCCAGGGATTTGTTACAAATAAAATAAGTTCCAAAAATAATATTAGAACTTTTGCATTTTGGTAATATTGTTTTGTCTATGCAGTTTCTTCTCTATATCAATTTCTATTATAATGATATTTCTCTATTCTTACTTTAGTTTGAACTTTCTAATTCTGCTTTATTGCGTTGAGGTCACTATTTCTTTGAATATATATTTATTAAGGAAATGTATATATTATCACTCTTTATATAAGAAAGGTTTTTTTGGTTTGTAATTATATTTAAATATATACTTAAATTCATTAATTTATTGTATATATATTCCATAATATACATATATTATATGTATATTCCTCTTTGATATACAAAAATTGTCGTTTTGAAATTTTTGTGACTTTTTCAATTCTGTGAGCTGTTCAGTATCGCGCACTTATAAATAGATCCCAAATTTCATAACAATGCAAACTACATGGGATTATATAGAAAAGAAAAAAATAGAGTAGAGAACTATATAGATAAATATACATGTTAAAATTAAAAAAGCAAGCTTTTAAATAATGAACATTATTCAAGCTAAATTATTCAGTTATGGTCGATAAAAATTTTATATATTATCGATTTTAACAGATTCTTAGTGGATTCCAAATTATCTTTTTTTTTAGAAATCCTTTCTTTATTAATTCATATAAAAAAGAACCATTTCAAGAAAATTAGTTTAAATTCAAATTACAAATGTTCTCTAACAAACTTTTCACTCAATTAATTTATTCAATCTGTTTCTTGAAATTGAACTTAATTAGTACATTTGAAGTAAGAACACCGTTGACTCTAGGTATTTACACCATTCCAAAGCAATTTACAAGAAATTCGTTAATCAGTATTGAGAAATGAGAACTTTGAAAACTTGTCCTTTAACTAAGATCTCATCTTCATCTTCATTTTATGCTGCTCTTCCTGAACATGGTTTAATTTCTTACTAACTTAATTTCGGTGCATTTACTTGTTCCTTGAACTACTCCTGCTTATGTAGGACAAACTTACAAGTCACCTAATTTCGTATTAATTTATGCTCAAACCAAATTTCCTCTATCACAGCAAAGTGTTCATATAAAATTTTATGGTAATTACCTACTTACGATACTGATTTTACTGAAGATACCAGCTGAAGTTACCGCACAATATGAAAGTCAAATTTCAGAAGGAAGCAAATGCATAAAAACTTATTAAATTCCAGAACAGCAAGTAGTTGCTCTGCGATAATAAAAATTCAATTCAATTTCTTTTGAATGCATAATGTAGCACAATACAAGCAAAGTGGTTGCAGCTGTGAACCGAAACGTCCTGACTGCAAGTGGCACGGCATTAGCTGGTCACGTTCAGAAATGCATGGTATACGATTTTGCATAGGAATTGAAAAAAGTTCTAATCTGATAATAATCGAGTTACTGCTGCGTTATGGGCACGGTTGCTTGCATGCGAAGTAACTAAATTTTCTTTGTAAATTGTGCTAGCAGTGCTTTCCTACTTGCAGTGACACTTACCCAGTTTTGGCGAAATTGGTCCAATATGCCATAACAGCTTCGGAAAGCAGCTTTTCCTGTTCATTATAATTGCTAGGAAATGGACCAGCAGGCGCTAGTGGTGCACCAAATATAAAGGCCAATTCCTCGCCAGCAATGCTGTGCGGAAGCTGCAAGTAAAATCAAAGAAATGGAAATATATTAAGTTAGTTGTGGAAAAGTGAAAGTGGTAAAGTGGTACGAGTTTTATATAGATATCTAAGTGTACATATTTGTAATTTATGCTTTGGTTATTAATAAATTTATTTTTTGTGGTAAAATTCTGTATAAATAATACATTTTATTTATGGCTTTCTAATATAAATATTTGAAATTTTACTTAACCATTTTCTTCAACTTTTCCCACAGCATTTTTGTACCAAATTTATTGCAATTTTTTGCAAATTTAATATGTCCGCTCTCATATCGTTATCACTACGCCAGTTTTTTATCGTTTTAGTACACAATTTGCCCTTAGCATTTTGGTAGACAAAAAAGTATAGTATTTTGGGTTATTTTAAATCGATTTTTGCGCTCGTTTTCGGTATATCTTTGCATTGTAAATCTGTATCAAGTATTGGCACCTTCAACTTCATATTTGCTATTGTTGCACATTCGAATTAGAATATGAGAAAGATATTTCTGATATATTAAATTTATTTTCGATTTGAAGTTTCATTGTGCGAAAACCATTCATCCAAGCATAATAATACTGAGCTAAATTGAAAATTTTGTTTCTGAAAGGAATGGATTATCTTTGTTGCCTCAATGTGAATTGTGGCATGAATTAAGTAAATTTAGTTACAAAATGCTCTTAACAATATGCTTTTTATAATAAAAGAGTTTTGATTTATTATATATTGAATTTTATATTTGCTTAGTAATATATTTCAATAGAACATCATATTTTTAAAGGAAGGAATTAAACCCAAACTCAGTTGAGTAATATAGTAGAGGTTTATCATTCATCACCAGTCAAATAACTTGTTTATTAAGAAAGTAATTTATATAATGATAGAAAGTACTATACAAGTTTATACAACCTCATCAGTTTTAATCTAAAAATTAAATGGAAGGGTTTATATAATTTCAGTAACTAAGAATTTTATATAATGTGATAATAAAAAATGTTCTTCCCATATAAAAGAGTAATCGTGAAGAAATTTTTAAGTCCAAAAAAATTTTTGAATCAAGTTAATTCTTTAGTTGTCTTTATAGCCAAAATCGGATTTAGTCTTCTCCTTACAAAAGCAACCCTTCTCTATTTCCAATAATGTGTGTTTCAGTTCACATTGTTATGGTAAGATATTTGTTTTAAATAAATGGCATTAATAAAAGCTATAATAGCAGCTTCTGAATATTATGATTCACATCAGACTGTAACACTATCTCCGATCCATGAAAAAAAAATTATATCTGAATACTATATTTTATTAGTTATCAGTTAAGTCCAAATAAAGGAACGCTACGGGTATATATGAAAAGTTCAAGCTGTAGGTTCAAGTTTGAACTAATTTACAAATTATTTGAGACCAGATCTCTTGAATATGGATACTATAATCAATATTAAGATAAAAATTGGGTTTTAGGTTGGTTCGCATATACAAATAATTAACAGTATTCTTTAAAAGAAAGACGTATTGTGCTGAATTATATTACAAAGACTTGGTGAACATAGTAACACGTTTGTTTGTTGAGCAAATGAATCATCAGAGTCAGTGATTATATCTACTGGCATACACTGGTATGCCAGATTATCCTATTGAAACGTAAATACCCATACTAACCTGCCACCATAAATCTGCGATATCATATTTATATATTTTGATTATCAGGAAATCATTTACCAAGGCTCGATATCCGGATATATTGATGATGATACTCATATCAATATTAAAACTGCACTAAAAAGATCATATATATGCGTGTGTTGGTTGTTGATAGATTTTTTCATTATTAATTTTATAATTTTGTTTATTGATGAAGTCGTAGAAATAGAATAAAATCAGGGCGCTTAAAATCTTCCTATAAAATTTTGAATTTATTTTCAATTCAATTAATGAAATTGCCAGCAGGTAGTATCTACTGGCTTTTCGAATGGTAAATCGGGATTCAATCTAGATGTACTTTCGATCTCTGAAATTTTGTTATTTAATCGAACATTTTTAAAGTAGAGTTAGTAGATAGTAATATTTTTCACAAATACATATATTGAATCAAGTCACACTCTATTTGTCAAATCACATAACACAGTTGTTAATTTCAGGGTAGTTTCTTAATACAATCGTAAATGAAAATTGCGCTATAAGTGAAATAAATGTGCAAATCAATTGAAAAAATTACCCCAGATTTTACAATTGAGAACGGCATGCGTTGTAGTGAACAATGTTGGCTCGATAAATTAAGATCTTCGCCAACACTAATCTTAAACCTGGCGATCACTTGATCAGTGATCGCTTACTAATAATATATTCCAATTTTTTCATTACATATACAAGTTAGAATAAATTTATGAAATAGAAAGTCAATTTCACAATTTTACTATATAGGCATTTATTAATACTTAAAATTTTGAAAAACCTAAACAGATTAATTTTGATTTCCTTTGAGTAGACTCCGTTACAGTTCAGGTTATTCAGTGGCGCTGCATATTTACATTTGAGCCATCAATGGGAACCGAAGAAATCAAGAATAATGTAATTTTCGGTTTTATTTATATATAACACTCGTCATTACAATGCACTCATCTTCTTCACAAGAAATAAACTCAAATTGATAGAATTTCGAACATATTTAAAGAGAGTTCATAAGGTTATACTACAAATAAATAGTATAAATTCGATGATTGTCTGTTAAGAGTCAAAAGCTTCCTGACAAACCTAAGATGATTGATATTAATATCTCATATTTAAGATTTTGTTACTAAAATAATCAAGCTTACGTATCGTTGCAGTGGGTAAAGTTTTTTTAATCTACCAACAACATAGAAACACAATTGTAGGCTTTTGGATTGAAATGAATATTTCAGCATTCCATCACAATCAGAATAAAACTTTGAACAGATCTTTTTGGTGCTAAAAATGTAAGTCATATTACAAATATTATTATTGTAAGACTCGACAAAAGCTTATTTTTTAATAACTTCAGATATACTTACAATAAAGTTTCTAGTTGTTCGGAAACTGTTAAAATTATGTTTAAATATTTTTAATTTTTAATTAAAGATAATATTACCATAGGTTGCCATTATCATAACTTCTAGTTTAGTCGCTCTTATCAATCGTCTACGAATTGTTCATCTTCACTGTTTGAGTCTTGCATATTTGCGTTGAAAACAATTTTCTTTTCCTTAAATTTCAACTCGTCAATAATTTGCAAATATTACAAAACTAATTATACTCTTTTTTCAAAAAACGTACCTATTACTGAAATATAAATTTTACTTAGATATTTAATTGTAGTCTTGTGTTGCTAAAAATGTCATACCATTAGTTTACCACTTGAATGAGTAATACTAACACTAGTCAATGATCCAAAAATATCTCCATAATTATATTGGATTTTGAATCAAGTTTTTAGTCAATTTTATTGTCGCTACTGTCAAGGGATTCTTCATCTTCGTCTTGTTTCGAGCCATTCAATAGTTGTTCATAATCCAACTGAAGTTCGTTGGCATGCTGCTTAAAAGTTTGAACTTCTTGTTCTAAGTTGACATTGTTAGGATATTTAGATTTTAATGTAGTTAACACTTCTTGATGTTTTTGCACACATTCTAGCATTTTTCTGTTGGCCCAAATTTGTCTAGCGGTAATACTTTTATCAGCAAGAGATCCGCTTGACAACGTGTCAACTAATTCCATAAGATTTTCCCTAAAAGCATTTGTAGCAGAAGTTATGCTAACTGAACAATCATCACTGGAGTCACCCATTGAAATTTATTTTTATCTAAACAGAATTTGAAATAATTTTGATTCCGAAAAATTTTATCTGATATATGAAAAATTTTTTATTAAGAAGTAAGCATTTAAAATAATTTGTAAGTTACTGAGTTTTTAATTTCAAGTTTTTTTTTTTTTGTTTTATTTTAGTTTGGTAAGTTATTTTCAATTTAGTATGAAATACATTGAAGAAATTAAGAAGTATATATATATTATGAATCAGGCCTATAATTCGAATTAGTGTGCTTCAGTCTATTTAACTATCTGCTTATTTAAAAGCAGGCTGTACTGTTGTTGTTGAGTTGGGACCTGAGTGTTCGTCAGATTTTAGTGAAGATTTAAAACCAACATTTCAGTTAATATATAGTTATATATATATATTATCGCCTCTATTCTGTGTATTTGATGAATTCACCATCTTGCTTATTTGTTAAGGTTGACAATAAAGAGCACTTTTCTTTATCAATACTTAAGTTAACAAGTACTCTTAACAAATAAAATGCTCCTTTATTGTGGTTTATATGCATTATAAAATTCTAAATAGCATAATTACTGAGTTGATAGTCATTTATTAAAGTATTATAAAAATATAACAATAGTTGTCAAATAAAATATAATAAATTTTATAAAAATAGTTATAATGAAATTGTAAGTGGTATTATTAATGATCACTATGCTCTTAAGCTTTGAAATATATCAAAATGTTGCACAGAGTATCAAAAAGCTTTTTTCTTCATAAAAATTTTGATTAATTGTCAATATATATATATACATATATTACCTATATATAATATATTCCTTCTGAAAGGGTATCAGTAAATATACTCCATACCCAAGTTAAATAACTACGGAATAATTGTGGCTTAACCAAACGTTTCTAAATAGAGTATGATCTTAATTTCATTTAAAATCAGTAGTATTGGCAATTGACACAAGATGTGTTCACTACATAAGAAGAAGGAATTCAAAGTATTGATTTTAAAGCATATGGTGTTGAAGAGATGACGCAGAAGGAGCTAGAAATATTTATCCATATTTCATAAAATTTAGGACTGTTTGAGTAATATAAAATATCTGAAGGACGAATATGATTACATTTATGCATAATTTATAAAATTTTGGACTGTTTGAGTAATATAAAATATCTGAAGGATGATAATTTCAGTCAACCGGAAGAATACTAAATTCGCAAATAAATATGAAATTTTTTTTGCCTAAATCACACAATGTTTCTTAATAACCTCTTGTTTTATACAATTAATTAAATTTATTTTTAATATTAATGTTTTTTATAAAATGCTAAAAAGAACTTGGTAGCACCCTGTAATTTTGGATAAACTATACTTTTTCATTTTCAAGCTAATTATAATATAATCCACAATCTTTATACCATGGGAAGCATTTAGTACTTAGCATATGCTTTTATTTACAAAAATTTTTCAACTTACCAAAGAACTGATCTGTGTTAACCAAATCAGTTAATTTCTGATTCAACTTCACTATCGTTACTCTCGTCAGTTCCTTCAATATATCTCCAATCACTTTCAGTTAAAGCATTCAATAAATGTTCAAGCTTCTGTTCTATATGATTAGCCAAATGTTTATATTTTTCCGTTTCTTGTTTTAATATTCTGTTATCAGGATATTTTCCTTTTAGGACATTTAATGCTTTTAGATGCACAGTGAGACAAGCGTGGATTCCTCTATTCGCAAGTAATTGACTAAAGGGCATATTTTCATCAATCAAAGGGGAAAGCAACAGAGAACCGACTAGTTTAATTAAATTATTCTGAATTTTTTTTCTTGCATTGGCTATGCCCACCAAGCATTTATAGTTGGAGTCTCCCATAGGAATATTGTTGCAATTCAAATTTTGAATTAAATTTTGGCCTAAAAATTTTTAACTGCTTTATGAAAAATTTTGATGAAACATGATTATTATGTATGTTTCTGTTATTTCGAAAGCTACTCAGTTTTTTATTTAAATATTGTCATTGCCTTTTTTTATTCCAGACAAATATATATGTTATATATATATTAAGGTTATCATTCCATTATAGAGCAAGTCTGCATTATGTATCACTGTATCAATGGTCGGTACGACAAGTTGAACCGATATAGTTATATGATTGTATCTGTCCATCTGTTTATCATCTTTTTTTATCTAACTTTCTCTCTATCTGTTAGCACTTAAGTCTTTTATTTTAGAAGCCAATCGAATAAAATTTTTATAAATATTTTTTTATAAAAAAATGTCAAATACACAAATGCAGTCGCTTAATGTAGTGCATTATGAAGACGGTTAGGAAGGTTAAAATATGGTTAAGAAATATATATTGAGCTGAATGAATAAAATGCCGACAAATGTATAACAAACATGTTAAAACTATTCTTCTTGTGTTAAAAGCATATAATATATATTGTGGTTTGGATATATATATTATATATATTATATTTAAATTTAAATGCATATTTAAATATATTTAATATATTTCTATTTAAATATATACATAAATAATATCTATACACTTCACATTTTTGGTTTTATAATCATTGGCTAACAGTTATGGTTTCCTTTAAACTCAGGATATTTACTGCTATGCTTGGAAAGATATAGTTTAGTTTAGAGTAAAAATAGTAATAAAGAAAAATATGTTTTTGCTTTTGGTAGCAATATTTATTACAACAGTTTAATTTTGACTTTTCAAAAAATGGTTAGATATATTAATTTAAATTTTTAAGGGACTACCTCGTACATAGTTCAGCATTTATTGTAATAATCCAATCGTAATTTTTAATCAACTACATCCGAAAATTAATACATTGCCCTTAAATAAAGATTGCATATCTAGTTTTTGTTTGCACCAAAGAAGTTTATAATCCATTTCCAGGTAAAAGATATTCAAAATTTTTACAGACAGTTTAGTTAATCACACTTCGCATGTATTTTTGATTCTTCCTTAGAGAAGTTATATTTCTTTTGATAGAGTCATAAACTAAGTAGGTCACAACTGTGTATTTTGATAAATTAGTTAATTGACAATTAATTTCACCATGTTTACATTGAAAATATTCTGTAATATGTAATCAGTTTATATGTATCCAAGACACAGTCAACGCTGTTAAATGGTAACATTCAATATGTTCAGTCAGTTTAACCTGACTGTATACTATAGGTTGCCATTTCTGGACTTCATTCTAACATACAGTAAACATCAGTTTTATTTTAAAACTAGCATTTCAGCATAGAATGGACATTCAGACATTCTTTCATCGATAGTAAAATCGATCCATTGCTTAATAAGTCATACCATGCAATATCTTTCAATATAATATTAATTATAAATTTAAGATTCTTACTGAATATATTAAAGAATCTTACCAGTCCTCCAAACTCTCTGTAAATTTCTTACAGTTAAAATTTAATTCCTAAATTTCCTTTGATTAGAGTTCACTATCGCTGTTCTCCGTCTGTGTGCCTCGACTTTTTATTAAAAAACTTAACTCGATATTATATGCTTCGGTTTGCAATTGTATATATTCTTTCTTTAGTTCGTCAGAAAATTCTTTGAGCTCTTGAATTTCCTGATTGATGTTAACATCATGTGGAAACTTATATCTGAAAGCATTCAATGCATTTTGTTGATGATGAACACATTCTCGCATTACCATGTTGGTCTTTAACCGCCAGATATGCAGATTTTCTTTTTGCATGTCTCCGCTTAATATATCGATGAAAAGCTGATTTAGCTTATCCCTAACATCTTTTGTAGCAGAGAATACGCCTGCTGAATACACATCGGTGGAGTCCCCCATTTGATTATTTGAAATCAAAACCAAATTTTGAAACAATTTTGCATCCAAAAGAAATGTATCTGATTTGTTAAAAATTTTTTGTGTTAAACATATTTAAATTTTATTTATTTCATGAGTTACTAAGAACAAAAACTAATTTGTAGGAAAAATAACTTTTTTTTATTTCATAGAATAATAATTTTGTGTCCGCAGAGAATGAAAATTCAATTTACAAAGATGTCGGAGCATCTATACTTCCTTGTGTATACTTCCTTAGTGAATATTTTGTATATTCATCGTTATGTCTACTCGTCTAATTAATTTATGTTGACGTAAAATTTGGATATTGTATTATTTGAAGAATATTTTGTAGATAATCGTATAAGTCTATATTTGACTAGAAAGATATGTTTTAAGCCAGATGCGCACAAGCATTCTTTCAGTTTTGGAATTTTTTGAAGTGACTTTTTGTTTTAGGACTAAAACCATGAACATGAACTTCAAAGCGTTTTTGGTGGGTGTGTTATTCGATTTTTTGAGTATTGGACCTTATTTGTTTCACCAAAAACGACAAGGCTAATTTTGCTGTTCAATTAGTCAAGAAGGACATTTGTTTATGGGTCTGGTCTATGAAGTTAACTTATACACGTACTTTCAAAATGAGAACTGTCTATTTATTATGCAATTAATGTTATCTGATCATTTAATATAACCTTAATGATGAACCTTAATGATTTTTAGCACTACTGAACCTTATACCTGATTCTAAAGAGATTTTGTTTTCATTTTGATCATAGGCTGTAGTACATAATCATTGCGTACTATTTTTTTAGGATTTGTTTATTTTATTTTCAAGTATATGCAGAACCTATATATATCCTTATCGTAAGTAATTTTTTAGTTCTAGAAAGAGGCACATTGTTTTAAAATTATTGATTATAGTTTAGGTGTGAATATCATCAGTCTACATTTTCGAATCTTTTATTTTTTGCAAAATCTTTAATAACTTAAATTCATTATTTTTTTCTATCCTTATTGGATTTTAATTAAATTTTTTTGAAATCTCTTTGTTGGTAGAATTTCCAATAATTAAACAAATTCATTTTCATAAAAATAGATTTTTGTTCTGCTTTCAGAAATTAATGCGCTTGAAAGGATTAGAATATTTTGTTTAACATTTTTCTTCTATTTTTACCCAAAAGAGTAAAAAAATAGATCCCATCAGTTGTTCAATCAAAGAAAAATGTTTGTCATATTTTTGTTTGAATGGCTTTGGAAAATGCTCATGCAGGCACGTGCTTGGCATAAATAATATCAAAATCAATAGTTGATTATGGACATTTTCTAACAATGTCACGATGGGCCTGCAACTCCGAAATATGTTGAGATGCTATTCTCGATTGTGGAAGTTTTATTATATTCAGCAAACTCTGTGTGTCATTTCACTACGAATAAACATTGGTTGATAAAAGAAACTGCAATCAGTGGTTAATAATTTATTATGATTTCTCGAATGATTGCGTTATGCGGATCTGAGAATGATTTAAGAGAAAATTTAATTCAAATGTCAGCATTTTTCGTTGGTATTGATTTTTTATTAAGTAAATTGAGTTATTAATAAAATTAAAAAAATATTCCACAAATACTGAAAGTATCTTAACAAAAACTAACATGAAGATTGGTTGGAAAATTAAGAGGAATACAAAGGTGATATTAATCATTTAAGAGAAATTCATAATTGACCTCAAGTTAACATATATAGAGACAATAAATAGATATCAATAACGTATTAGTAGAATTAGTGTTAAATATTATTTAGTTATAGAAAAAAGTTTATAATATTTTAGATTATTATATATATTTTAAATAGTATTGAAGTAATAATAATAAGAATAAACGGGGTACTAGCTTTCACTTAAGCAGAGCACTGCGACCATGATATTATTTAAGTAATAAAGATCAAGAAATTATATTATTGAACTGAATTATTTTTAAAGCTTTGGCTTTATATAAATCGTAGTTATTATCCGAAAAATTAAAACGAAATAATAAAAGAATTGAAACATTAACTATAAATATTTTATTTAGCATTGGTTGGTTTGGTTAAAACAAGCGAAGTCATTGTTTAGGTATAGCTTGACGGATTCAGAGTTCTAAGCCTGACATTTGTAGTCTAGCAATCATATACGTATCTATAATCAACTAATTTTTAAAAACGACTGGAGAGCAAAAAAATTTAGTAATACATAGTAGTAAAATAGTTTCTTTCGTCATAATTGATTTTTAAAACCAAGTTTTTGATTTTTTCTTTATTACGAAATGGTAGCATGCAATAGCATTGCAAAAGATCAAGCAAAACTAGTTCAGATTGTTCAATTGAAATAGCTTGCAATTAGAGGAGATAACTGCAAAACTGATACGTGTAATACAGCACAAGTGAAATATATAGAAAAATTAGCCCAAACTCTGTTCTCTAATTGTGGAGAATTAGTAGTGGTTCTTCACCTAGAATATATATATTTTGTAAAACATAATCAAGTAGTGTCAATATGTTCTGAACTTATTGGTGTTCTAATAACCGATTTATTATTTATTCTTTCTCTTTATTCAGGAACTTGAGTCCATTAAAAAAAATCTTTATTACCATGTACTAGTAAAAAACTTAAGTGACCCTTTCTCTTCCTGGTTATATGATTTTGCTTGTTTCTAGGACTGTATATTCCAGTAGCTTCTGCTGCGTTCTTACGGTAGATATTGTGATTATGTGCGCAAGTCATCACAGTTCTTAGTTTTTTATGAAATGTGTTACTAAGTCAATTTTTATAAACTGCTTTATTTGAAAATTATAGCGACTTCTTTAAACAACTTCATATATAATATAACAAGAAATTTATTACAATTATCTAATCAATACAATGTTTCTAAACAGAATTTATAACTATTAGCCAAATTGTAGCTTTTGTGACAGTGGAGAATATATTGCATATATATATACTACTGGAGAATCAACTAGTGGACTGTTTAAAAGTTCTTGGGTTCAGTTCAATTTATGTATAGGACAATTTATGACTATTACACATCTCTGAACGAGAATTTTAGCATTCCTTTTCTTGGATCCACAGGGATTGCAAAGCAGATGAACTGAACAGATGGGGAAATGGAAACATCTTGGATTTGGACATACTGTTGGCGTCATGTAAACAGTTGCTAAAATCTGGCTACATTGAATACTTTAATAGAAAAAGGCACCACTTAACTCGCAAAAGACATCTAAAAAAAATTTATTAAGACGTGTTTAAGAATACGGATATCCATCTTGTGATAGATTTGTTGATGTGTTACACCCATTTAGGAAACCATGCTTGAAGATTGAATCATTAAAAATTCTAGTAAAGAGCTTTGTTTGAAATTGGTGAATATTGTAATGACTGATAAGATTGATTTTTAATTTTGATTTCCAATCATCTTTCGATAAAAACTTTCCCAGTAGTTGCCCTCAATAAACATGTTTTAGTAATAGAAAATTACGATATTTTATGGTGTGATATCAGTTATATAGATCTCAGTAGAAAAAGATTACGAGTAGCGATAGAGAAGGTACTGATACAGAACAAGACTAAGTGAAGTTAAAAATTCCTTAATATATGAGAAGATTGAAGTTATCCTTGAAGTATTGAAATTGATTAAAAGATAACAACCTTAAAAGTCAAATATTTTAATAAATGCTTTTTTGTTTTGCCTTCCAGCGAAGCAAAAAATTGTAAATTAATTTTAACATGACTACGATAAGATGGACCTAATGCGAATATAATTTTTTCTTTCACAGACTGTAATAAATGTATGAGTAAATAGACAAAAAAACGATACATTTAGACAATTATTTTAATTATAAATGGTCTGGATACAATATTTTGTAGTAATTACGATGGAAAGAAATTAATATGAAATGTGCGGGGGACATATGACTTTACTTAAGATGTTAAAGATACTTAATGAAATTGATACTCGCCGTATTCTGTCAAATACAATAAATTTAACATTTAGTTAAGAAGATGGAATGAGAAACGGAGAAACGATGTTTAATGATTTTGTAAAAAAATTTTCTGTTCAGCCGATTCAACAGATTAACAGTTAATAAAGAAATTTTACTTACTATTTTAAAAATTTTCATTTCTGTATTGCTTTGTAATATTAAAATAAACTTCATTTCGGTAATTTCCATTGTCTACTAATTAGTAAGGTTTACTATTCACCGAGTAAAGAAACGTTATAATTAGTTGTCAAATAAACATTCATTGGTAATGATATAATTTCATGGTTTGAGGAATTTTCATTCGACTAAATATCGTTTTCCACTAAAGGGTTATATAAAAATTGGCTTCCTTATAAATACATTCAATATAAGTTTAACTGCTTTGATACACATTTCACTAAGCTTAAAATTAATTAATGGTGTTCAATGAGTGAACATTTGCAATGCACTTAAGCATCACAGTTCTAGTACTTAGCAAATATGAGTTCAGTTGGATTTGGACTCTGTTGATTCTGGAAGAAGGTTATGTTTATATTTTGTTGCTAAAATACACACATAATAATCACTTAACGTTTGGGTTGAACATAGGCCATAACATTTAATTGTGATTGCAAGCAAGGAATTGGCGCTCAGTATTTTCCATTGTTTCTAGAAGTAGGTTACATGTAGCTATGTTATAGTAGCAATACGTTTTAGATTTGAATATGCAATTTCCAATGCAAAACCTCCAGCTAGATATCATATTGTCTATATGAAACATTCAGTGACAAAAAAAATCGTCATGAACAAAATATTATGGAACAGTACGTATTCACTTGCCTACTAGATATAGTATGCAAGTGACTGTTGAATAGGTACATAGTATCTAATATGTTGACTTAAATTATATAAAATTGTATTCCAGAAGGTATATTTTAATTAACGACAACTTGAATTATTAATTAAATAGTATTAATCAACTAAATTTTCCCCTAGAAATATATTGGAATTATTTTTTCTAATAAAAATTATTTACTGAATCCTTAAAAATACTAAATC